GAGCCGGGGGCGGCCAGTGACAGAGACTCCGAACGGAACGGAAGCTCTGCTCAGGAATTCGCAAGAGGGTCTCCTGGAAAGAAACCGAGGAAAGAAATTTCCCGGGGAGACTCTTCTGGGCCGGGGCCCAAAGTCAAAAGAGAGGTTGGTGTTGCCCTGGGGGAGTTTGGTTTTGAACCCGGGAGCAGCGAGCCCTGGTCATAGGTGGGACCCTGTTCCCGCCCCTGCGACAGTCCGATGCTGCCCCTCTGTCTCCGTGCAAATATCCCAAAGCAATACAATTCTGCACGTCTCCTCCCGCGTCCGGGGCGGCACTGCGGGAGCGGCGGCCTGCCTCCCGGGCTGAGCGCCACGGCCGTGTTTTCTCGCCCACAGCAGGAAGAGAAGAGAGCAGACGCGGGAAAGTGGCAGCTGAACCTGCTCGCTGAGCACGGCCGCAGCTCCGACCTGTGCGATATTTTGGAGGAGGAAGAGGAGGAGCTGTGCTCGGACATGCCGGGGGGGAAGCGGTGGGATCCCGGAGTGCTCTGCAGCGGAGAGAGCGGGGCCCAGGTAACGCCTCACAGGGGCCTTTGAGCAGCATCACCCCCTTCCCTCCACGAGGACGGGCCCACGTGCTCTCGGCAGCGGTTAGCTGAGCCCCTGTGCCCCGAGCACTCCTCTCCCGCCAGCCATGGGGGAGCCGTGAGAGATCAGGTCGGGGCCATGGGAAGTGGTGCAAACGTTTTATTCCCCAGAACGAGCGTGATAGCCTGAAATCCTGTCCCCATTGACATCAAGGGCAAAACTCCCACAGACTTCCCTGGGGCTGGGGTTTGACCCCCAGTAGCTGTAAAAAGCAAACAGTCTGTAACCCCTGTTCATGGAGCCCGTAGGAACCTGCCCGGCGGCTGCAGCCTGCGAACGCCCCCGCGCCCGACTGGCTGTGGACACACGGCGGCGCTGGCTGGCTCCAGTTCCGAGAGCTACACACACGCGTGCTCTGCAGGCCCGTGGCTGAGCGTGCACAGTCCCTCAGGAAATGCCGCTACATTCACCCCGGCCTGAAAGGTGGCACGTGAGGCGCTCGTGACATGCGTGGCCGGGAAGCGTGGCTGGGTTGGAAATGAACGCAGGAACGAGTGGTGCCTGCAGAGGGTCTGCAGCAAGAAAACACCCTGAGGCCTTTGAACGCCTCCTCCCGGGAGCTACAATTCGCTGGCCTGGGCCCGACGCCTGCCAGCATGCATGGCGTGGAGGAGTTAGCAGAGCCGTGGGCGGAACCTCTTGCTGCTGTTTTCCTTCTGCTCAGGAGGGAGCCAGGTGGCTGGGTGGGAAGGTTCAGGGCAGCTGGAAGACAGGTGGGGAGAAGGGAGGCACAGCTGGAGACAGCGGGCTTGCCTAGGAAGGGGGACTTGGCACTGCTGGGGTTTGGCCTACCGCAGTGGTCTGGCAGCTCCATGCAGGAGGTACGAGGCTTCCCCGCCTGCCCCGTGTTCGTACCCTCCACAGCGAATTGTGAAGCTGAGGACGTTCTTTGTGCTCTGTTCAGAACCTCTCCCGGGGACAAACTGGGCCTCAAAGTCCTTCTGGTTTTGAAAAGCTCTGCTTGACATTCCCATTAAGGAACAAGAAGGATACAAATCCACATGAACTTACACAATAGACTGAAGCATGGCTGACTGACAGCTCTCAAAATAACCAGTCGTCCTGTGGCACCTTAGAGGCGAACAAAAAATACAGAATCATGAGCTTTCATGAGCAAAACCCACTTCATCAGATGGGTTAGAGTGGAAATAACAGAAACCAAGATTTATATATAATTGCAGAAGAAGTACCTGTCAATTGTGGGAGCCATGTTTAATGGGGCTGGATGTGACCTGTTTATAGCTTTTTATGTGAAAATGCAGATGTTAAAGGTAGGAGAAATTGCCTTTGTAATGTAATCTTCCACTGTTATATATAGATGTATATATCTCTTGGTTTCTGTTATTTCCACTCCAATTCCTCTGATGAAGTGGGTTTTGCCTACGGAAGCTCATGATTCTAGCCACAGGGCTACTTATTGTTTTGATAATGACAGACTGACATGGCTACGCCTCTGAGACTGGACTCAACATGTAACTGGAAGTGGGGAATCATCCCTGAGCAGGCACCAGAGCTACCAAGCCAGAAACTGGAGTGGGGCCAAGAAGCACTGGGGGGAAGAGGGGGGATGGAAGCAGCCTCCTGCCTGGCCCCCTAACCCACTGCCCGGAGTCCAGCTTTCCCCCAGCTGCCCGTGTGACTCTCCCTGACCTGGACCTGGCTGGGGGAAGGGAGGCTCAGAGCCATGATGGGCAAGGCTCCACCAAATTCATGGTCCATTTTGGTCAATATCAGGTTTGTAGTATTTCAAAACTCGTAAATGTCATGATTTCAGAGATTTAAATCTGAAATGTCACAGTCTTGTAACTGTAGGGACCCTGACCCAAAACGGAGTCCTGTGTGAGCCCCCCCCCCCAGTATCCCTGTGACTTCCTGCAACTCCCTTCTGGGTCAGGCCCTGCAATCTGGGAATCGCTGGTCTCCCCAGGAAATCTGCCTCGTAGGCAGTTGAAGCATGCGGAGGACCAGATCTCACAGGGGAGACCAGATCTCATTGTCCGTGATGCGTTTTGCATGGCTGTAAATTCAGTGTGGCCCTGCTCAGAGCCAGGCAGCTGGGAGGGGGAAGGTCCTTGCACTAAGGGGATGGACGTTGGGTTTCTTTGTGGGGGGCGCTTTATTCATGCCAGATGAGGAGAGTTTCTAGTTTGGCTGGGGGCTTGAGCTGCTCTGTGCACAGCGAGGTGCTAGAGGTGGCCCTGTTTCAGCAAACCCAGCATGGAGCCCAGTGGCTGACGCCTAAATACAACTGTTAGTCTTCAAGATGCCTCTGGGTTCCTGCTTGTTTTTCTCAACACAGAGACACAAGGCTGAGCCAAGGGGCAGGCGGCGGTAGCCATGTGCCCTGGCAGCACAAACACGGCCAGTTGCAGAAGATCCACAGACAGGCCAGGCTGCTGCCCAGCACCCGGAGGGGCCCTGAGGGGGTTGGGGGAAGCACAGGCATTTCCTCTCTGGGGCTGGCGGTGGCAGGACTGACCCTACCCCACAGCCCTGCTGCGGCCAAGCCACAGCTCCTGCAAAGGGCCCCGCTCGCGTGAGCCGTGAGGAAGCCAGCCTGCTGGGATCCACGCGAAGGGGCCCATCTTCTGGAGCGGGGGGTGGAGCGTTTCCTGCGGGAGGGGGGTTTCCCCATCCTGGCTATGGATGCTCGGGGCTCCGAGAAAGAGGCCGCAGTTGTGCATGTCGAGTTCTCTGCCGCCACCTGGGCAGGGCTGTGGCTGTTTGGCCTCTCCGACATCCCTGGGGACATGTGGCCTGGTCACGCAGACCTTGCGCGGGAGGGTTTCTCCCCGACATCCACAGCGCCGCCTCCTTTCATTGATTTTGCTCCAGTCTAGACGCCAGTAGCTATCGCCGCTGCGTGAGGTGCAGACTTAGCAGAGCTGATAGAGCCCGTTCGACTTCATCAAAACCCACCTTGCTCGTGCGTATCTAGATTAAGGGTTGAGTTTTGGATGTGAGCCTCCTTATGGTCGCAAAGCGGGCTCCCGCCTTTCAATAGACGGCTGATCAGGTGTTACGGGGCCCAGCTGGCAGCAGGCTGCTTGTGAGCTTCTCCTGGGTTCTCTCTCGCCTGCGTCATGAGCATGTGGATCGCGGAGAGGCCCTTTCGAAGCTGTGTCAGTGGGAGCGTTTCGCTGTGTGAGCAGCCCAGGGAAAGGCAGGTGCTAGCCCGCACTTCGCATCCGGGGCTAAAACCCGGCTTCAGCACCAGCAGGGCCACACGCCCTAGTGCACAGGGACTCTCTCGGCTGCAGGTCTGAATGGAAACAGGCTCTGCAGGGTCACGTGTGCCCGTTCCTAAATCAATAGGTAATGTTCTACCGATCTAGAGCTGGCAGGGACCTCGAGAGTCATCGCGGCCAGCCCCTGCCCTCGCGGCAGGACCCAGCACCGCCCCTGGCAGGTTTGCCCCAGATCCCCACATGGCCCCTCAAGGGCTGAGCTCCCGACGCCGGGTTTGGCAGGCCAGTGCTCAAACCACTGAACTGTCCCTCCCCGCCGTAGGCGTTTACAGGCCGGCTGCAGTTGCAAAGTGGCTGCTTGGGCCGTTGGGCGTGGCCGCGGCAAAGGGCGTCTGGCGGCAGCAGCCCCTGCCCTGCTGCTAGCTCAGGGCTCCCTTATGTCTCCTGCCCAGGGAGAAGGCTGCGGAAGAGAGGTGGGGAGCAGGCAGGACTCACGAGCCAGGAGCCATTTGTCCCTCTGGCTGCTCCGTGTGTGCAGTGTGGGCTGAGACAGCCTGTGGGCCCCCAGCCCCACCAGCCTCTTGCGGCAGCCCCGAGGGCCCTGTGTCAGCCAGACGCTGCAGCCAAAGGGGTGGCACCCCGGTGCCGATTTGGCGGGGAGACAGTGCCACGCCTGGCCTTTCCCGCTGCGTCACTAGGTCATCTCCTTGTTTTCTTTGGAACCGTCCGTGGGCTCCTGCCCCTGCTCCTCTGCAGGCGCGTGGCTGCCCCGCTCTGGCGCCGCATTGTCCCATGTCCTCCCTCGCCGGGGCGTCACACGCGGCCCTGCTGTGCTAATGTTTCTCTCCTCTCTCTCCCTGTGCGTGTGCCGGGGCTGGGCTGCAGCCGGACCCGTGGAAGGCCTCCAGCCGCAGAACTGCAGCAAGACGCTGTTCAGCATCCCCGAAGTGACGGAGGAGGAGGAGGAGGAGGAGGAGCGTGTTCACGTGGGGAAGAGAGACCCCCCTGACTTCCCGGAGAGCCGCCCGTGCCATGCAGGAAGCAGGGGGACGCCCCTTTCCAGAAGTGCCCCTCTGGCATTGCCAGATGCAGGTGGCCACCGCGCCTACCCAAGTCTGCCCCTGCAAGCTCTCCGAGAGGCCCTGGCCCTGCAGAGGAGCAGGGAAGCCTCTGACAGTGAGAACCCGGCCGATGTGGGGCTGAGCTGGACTCAGACCAGGGGTGGCTGTGACTGGGGTTGCTGGGAGGGTCGAGCCTTTCCAGAAGTGCCCCTCTGGCATTGCCAGATGCAGGTGGCCACCGCGCCTACCCAAGTCTGCCCCTGCAAGCTCTCCGAGAGGCCCTGGCCCTGCAGAGGAGCAGGGAAGCCTCTGACAGTGAGAACCCGGCCGATGTGGGGCTGAGCTGGACTCAGACCAGGGGTGGCTGTGACTGGGGTTGCTGGGAGGGTCGAGCGACGCCCGCTGGCGACACGAGCCCCCAGTGGGGCAGAAAGGAAGGGGGCAGGTC